TTGGAAGGTATGAGAGAAGCCATGGAAGATGGGGATGAGTTCTCCTGAGTTGAACGAGGACACATACTGTCTCAAGGCCACAGTGGGTCCTTTCACATAGTTATATATCCCAGAATATCAAGGCAGGAAATCCCACCTTATCTAAATGTGGTCTCAGATTACCCAGTTCAAAGCAGATACTGTGGGGTTTCCAGTCTTGATATTCTGGGATATAGGGCTGTGTGGAAGGGCCCAGTATCTCACGGAAGTAGCTGTGTTGGCCATCCAGCAAAATACACCAAACAGTGGCACTTTTATTGGGCTAAGTCAAAGGCACAAAATACGCCACGCAAGCTATTGAAGCTTTGGCTTCTTCATCAGACAGATGCTCAAAACATATGGAAGAAAAGTGCCAATGTTAGAATCTACTCAAACCATTACTAATTGCTGATTTTCAGAAGTAAAAGACTGGAACAATGGCTTCAAACTATAGGAAAGGAGATTAGGAAGAACATTAGGAAGAACTTCCTGATCGTGAGAGCTGCCTCAGAGTGTGGTGGAGGCTCCATCTTTGGAGGCTTTTAAGCAAAGGCCGGATGGCCATCTGTAGGGGGGTGCTTTGAATGTGATTTTCCTTTTTCTTGGCAGAATGGGGTTGGACTGGATGGCCCACGCGGTCTCTTCCAACTCAATGATTCTTTGATTCTAAGTTTTACTTGGCAAAATAGTGCTTGTCGTTAAAGAATATGGTTGATCCATGTTGTTCCTGTGATTACAATAAAATGGCTTGGAAAGAAAACTATCTATGAATTGTAGATGCAAAAGTGGGAAGAGATTGGGGAAAGTACCGCTCCTTATAGAAGGTAACCCATTAATCTTCTGATATTTCGAAATAATAAACATTGAAATGATAATTCAAGAGGGAAAACGGTTCCTCCCTCCCTCTCCTTCTGTTTATATGGTTAAGTCTGCCTAACTTGAATTATGTTTAGTTTATATTAAGTGGCATCTTTGGATTCCTTTCCTCTTTGTGAGAGATCCTTCAAGAACCTTCTATGTTTTTTTGTCCAGGGATTTCGTTTTCCAATGGGGAATGATGGAAACAAATCCGCCGATTCACTCTCACCACTTTGAGGGACTTCGGTATGGGGAAGAGATCCATTGAGGAGAAAATCCAGGAGGAAGCCCTGTGCCTAGTGGAGGAGCTCAACAAAACCCAAGGTGTTTGTTCATGTTCAGTCTTCCCTGGGGCATCCAAAATACATTAGGCACCATTGCTCAGTTTATGCTAAGCCTTAAACAATGTAAGCTAGCACAGTTGTTGTAGCTTCCAAGTTGGGTGAAGGAAACCATCAGCTGTCTCCCCAGATATCACTCAGGGTTTGCCTGTACCAGGTATGTATACCGGATGTGGCCCCTTGGGCTCTTTTCCCAGGCCCTCCTCTCTCTCACCTTCCTATCCTTCCTTCCTTCCTTCCTTCCTTCCTTCCTTCCTTCCTTCCTTCCTTCCTTCCTTCCTTCCTTCTCTCTTTCCTTCCTTCTTCCCTACCTCCCTGCCTCCCTCCCTTACCTCGCCTTTTCTCCCTCCCTCCTTCCTTCCCTTCTATCCTTTAATCCTTCCTTCCTGTTGGGAATCCGGCCCAGCGTACCTGTCCGAACATATCTCCTTCTATGTCCCGCCTAGGAATTTAAGATCTTCTGGAGGGGCCCTGCTCTCAGCCCCGCCCTTCACAAGTGAGATTGGTGGGGACGAGGAGACAGGGTCTTCTCAGTGGTGGACTCCCGCCTGTGGAATTCACTTCCCGGGGAAATTAGATCGTCGTCATCCCTCCTCTCTTTTAGAAGGAAATGGGCTGGCATGAAAAATGTGTTTTATTTCTAACAAAAGAAAGAAGATCAGCTCAACTTGGATTTCAGATATTTAGGAGAAGAATATAGAAATGCTAGAATATCATGACTTGGTAATGACATCATTTTGAAGTCTTTTCCATCAGATATGAGTAAACAAAGGATGGCAATTCCAAGAAAAAAGTGATACCGAGGAAGCAACATGAGAAAATTCTCATTGGTGGAAACCACAATTTTAATCTGGAATAAATATATATCTATAATGTGGATATACATTTGCCTGTACTATAATCTCTCCCCCTATGATCTTTCCATACTAGGAGACCCTTTTGACCCAACTTTGCCTATCAGTCAGGCTGTTGCCAACATTATCTGCTCCATCCTGTTTGGGAAACGCTTTGAGTACAATGATGAACAATTCCTCATGCTGAGAAAACTGATGACAGAACGGATCCTATTGGGCAACATCCCCAAAACAGCGGTGAAGGTAACACAAACACACTCCATCTTTCTCTACATTTTAAAGATGCCACAGTGATTAATTAAACAAGAGTCACTGTTGTTTTATGCTTAGTTCTTGGACACAATATTGTTTGTCCAAAGCTCTGCTCTGCTCCCGAACCCACTATTGTCGTTCAGCCACATTTACTCTTGATGACGTTTGTCTGATTATAATGTTTTATTGTTTTTAGATGTTGACTGTATATTTGTGCTTGTTTTTAATCTGCATTTGCTGGGCATGTTCCTTATAAGCTGCCCCGAGTCTTTTCGGGGAGATGGAGGCGGGGTATAACAATAAAGTTATTATGGTTATTATTATTATTTTACTGACACAAAAACATGGTATGTCACAGCAAATGAGAGATATATGCTGGATTTCATATCACAAAATCACAAGTCAAACACTTCCCAAGCATCTAGGACTGTGTGATGTATTTTTGAATGATGTGTGCAGATCCAAGTAAGGTGGCTTTTTCAGTTGACAGATTGTGATTTTGTCAATCAATCAATCAATGATTTATTACGGGCTTTGACCAGCACAGTATAGAATGGGGCACCGGTGCCCAAGGAGGGGAATCGCAGTTCCCAAGTAGGTCAGGTATAAAAGCAGATTAAAAACATGTTATAAAAGAGACAAATTAAAAAAAGACCTCAGCCAGCACTTGGAAACAATAGCGATTTTGTCAATGTTTATTGTTTTCAAAATGCTGACTGAGATCTTTTGGCACGGCACCCCGTGTGCCGATTACCAATGGGTGCCATGGTATTATTATTATTATTATTATTATTATTATTATTATTATTATTATTATTTAGTTGGCATGGGGTGTGGAGCAATGGCTTCTCCACCCCCCCCCCCTCGGCCAGGAGCCAATGGATTTGCCTCGATGTGTGGTGAATCATGTCAGAATATAAAGGTTTCTTGTGTGAAAATCACTTACAGCTTAAACTGCATGGTTTCAGTAGTGCATGGGTTAAAACATCAGAGGTCTGTAGAATTGGTGGAGTGCCACATTTGGAGTTCCCTGTGCAAACCAGAAAAGATGACAATGTGCTTTGTGCAGTGTGCTAATATGTGAACGGATATGACCAAAGAATGTGTTGTACATATTTTGTGAATAACGGAAGAGTTCCACTTTCTTTGAAAGCTGAATGGATGAGGCCAGTGTTTATTCAACTTTGTGCCTTCAAGAAGTTCATTGCAAGGTTGAAGTAGTTGAGATAAGGACGGGAGATTTATCTCAACTTTCCTGGCAAGGGTTGCAAGCTTCTTTGCGATGAGGTCTTTGTGATGAGGTCGTAGAACATAATGGAGTAATGGATTCAAATTACAAAAAAATAGGTTCTAACTCAGCGGTTCTCAACCTGGGGGTTGCGAACCCCAGAGGGGTCGCTTGGCCATTTCTGAGAGGTTGGGAGGCCACTTCCTTTGTCCCCGCCACCTCTGCTTCCTCAAAATGGCAGAGGGGGCCTCTGACAGCCAAACAGCTGGCCCAGATCGGTTCCGCCTCTTCCTCCCACAGGGTGGCGGGGAATCAAGAGGAGGCACTTGCAGGCAAAGGCGCGGCTTGGGGCCGTTTCCCCCTCGACTTCCCTGGGCCCAGCCTGGCCTTCTTCTGCCTTCAGGATGGGGCCTTGCCTCGCCCTCATGGCAGGAGAAGGCGAGGGAGGTGGCGGGAGAAACGGCTTTGGGGCCGCTTCCCCTTCGGCTTCCCTGGACCCAGCCTGGCCTTCTCCTGCCATCAGGATGGAGCCTCGCCTCGTCCCAATGGCAGGAGAAGGTGAGGGAGGTGGTGGGCAAAGCGGCTTTGGGGCCGCTTCCCCCTCCCCCTTTTCTGGGCCCAGCCTGGCCTTCTCCTGCCATCATGACAGAGCCTAGCCTCGTCCTGATGGCAGGAGAAGGCGAGGGAGGTGCCGGGCGAAACGGTTTTTGGATCTGTTGTTGACTTTTCAATTCTGTCTTTGATGGCATTGGTTCTAATGGCTTGTTCTTGGGCTGACAGAATCAGGCCCTCCGTCTCCTTTTTCAGAGTTCCATTTGTGAGCCATAGCCATGTTTTTTCTTTGTCAATTTGGTTCTCAATTTTTCCCAGGAACTGTCCATGGAAAGCCTTCTTTTGCCAGTCTTCTCTTCTGCTCTGGATTGTGTTTTTACAGTATTCCCTCTTTGTCTTTTTCACTTTAAGCAGTTTACTACTATTGACTTCCCCCAATGTTGGCTGTTGACTGCCTTTCACATAATCTGCCAGTGCGTGTTTCTCTTCTTCTACCATTTGTTTCACTTGCAGAAGCCCTCTGCCTCCTGGGCGGGTAAAGTCTGTCGACATCACTACACTTGTGTAATGCATAGTGGGTTGTCATCAGTTTTCTTGTTTTTCTGTCCAGATCATCCAGTTCAACTTGTGTCCAGTTCACAATCCCAGATGATGATGATGATGATGATGATGATGATTATTAAGCAAAGGCTGAATGGCCATCTGTCAGGAATGCTTTGATTGTGCTTTTTTCTTAAACCAGAATAAGGTTGGATTGTATGGCCCTGCCTTTGAGGTCTCTTCTTACCCTAGGATTCTAACTCTTCCAACTCTAGGATCCTATACTATTAAATCAGTCAATTCCTCTTAGTTATGGGGGTTCTTTGTGCAAAGTTTGGTCCAGATCTGTCATTCCACAGTGGTCTGTGGAAATCAGAGCTGAATCTATTGTAGGTAAGACAAATTTCATCATCCATTGTCCATACACCCTGAAATGTACTTTTTTGTGATTAATCACTATGCTTTATTTATGTTCAATTTGTTACAATGAAAATACATCCTGCATAGCAGATATTTACATTGTGGATCATACCAGTAGCCAAATTGCCATTATAAAGTAGCAACAAATATAATTTTATGGTTGGGGGTCACCGCAACTTGAGGAACTGCATTAAGGGGTCCTGGCATTAAAAAGGTTGAGAACTACTATTCTAACTAAACATTAGAAAAAACCTTCTGCTGGCAATAGTAGTGAAATACGTTGCCTTGGAGTGTGAAGGAGTCTCCATTTTTGGAGGTTTTTGAACAGAGATGCTTGGTTGTCTGCCATGAGTGTTTTGATTGGTGGCAATAGCCGTTTGGCAGTGGAATATGTTGTCTTGGAGTGTGTGGGGAGTCAGTTTTTGGAGGTTTTTAAACAGAGGTGCATGGTTGTCTGTCATGAGTGCTTCGATTGTGTGTTCCTGCATTCTAAAAACCATAGCTTTCCAATAGGCTTGAGCAGGGAAACTATCCTTTTGGGGAATTGGTGGTAAGAGAGGACATGGGATACAGCAAGTCTGATGATTTCTTATGACTTCTCTTCTTCCCAACCTCTCTCCCCGCTGCACAACCCAGCTGTACAACCTTTTTCCAGGAATTATGGATAAGATCCCCGGGATGCACTACAAGATGGCAAAGAGCAGCTTGAAGATTGTGGACTTCATTAACGAGAGGATCAAGATTAATATGGCCTCGCTTGATACTTCTGCTCCCCAGAATTACATTGAGTGTTTCTTAGCGAAGATGGAGCAGGTAAAGACTTATCCAACCCATTCATAAGACACAAGGGTCTGCCATGCATGCTTGTTAAGGCCCCCTTCAGACGTAGGTGGATTCCAAAGATATGGAGATCATATGGCACACCGTAATCTGAAAGAGAGTTGCCACAGATGAATTCATTACTGAATTCTTCCATATGAATTCTTCCATATGATTTATGAGTGTTTGTTTTCCTTGTTTTTATGCTGCACTATCTTGATGGAATGGACTCTTATTTACCAAAGGCCTAACAATGGAATATACTGTGGAAGGTTTTTATTTTATTTTTTTGTGGGGGGGGGGGGGGGGGGGCACATTAGTTATCCAGCGACCTTGGAAAGTTGCCACCCTTTTCCAATTTTTTTTTATTAATTGTAGATCCAGGAGAGCCCTTTAAAAATCCTAGCATGGACTTTTACACTTCAACATGTCTTCACCATTGGTCACTAATGTGACCAATGGTGAAGGTAACGGCACTCCATGTAGTCATGCCGGCCTCATGACCTTGGAGGTGTCTATGGAAAACACTGGCACTTCGGCTTAGAAATGGGGATGAGCACCACCCCCAGAGTCAGACACGACTGGACTTAATGTCAGAGGAAAACCTTTACCTTTACCTTTACTAGGTATTATCTAGGTCCTCTAGTGTAACTCTATAGTATCCTCAGGCTGAAAATCCTTTATTTCAATAAGGTTTTGTATTATCTCTGGTTTTGGATATCTGCGTGAAGTTCAGAAATGTATCCCCTGCAGATAAGAGGGCTGTGATTTTTTAAATAAAGAGATGTGAGAGAAAGGTTTTGGTTTGCTGTGAGGTTTTTGGACTGTATTTATTTATTTATTTATTTATTTACTTACTTTATTTGTATACCGCTGTTCTCAGCCCTTAGGCGACTCACAGCGGTTAACAAGAACAGCAAAAATTCAATGCTACCATCACACGGTATAAAAAACAGTTAACATCATAACATATAGAAAAGTATACAATTAACAACAATATACAATTAACACCAATAGCCATTCATGCCTGAAAAACTCACAGCAACCCAGTGATTTCTAGCCTTTATAGCTAAGCAAATCAGAATAAATCTCAGACAAGCAGGGGAGGGAGGGATGGAGAGAGAATTTGGGGCTGCATTTCACAAGTTCCTTAATCTGGGTCAGGAGGAGCAACATGTGTTTGTGAGCCACCAGAAATGAATACGAAGCCTGAGAGTTCCCATTTTCACCTTGATTTTTGCAGGAGAAGCACAACCCAAGTTCTGAATTTTCCACCAAAAATTTGAACATGACCATATTCAATATATTCTTTGCTGGGATTGAGACAGTCAGTGTCACCCTGAAATATGGTCTTCTCTACCTGCTAAAGTATCCCCAGATTCAAGGTACGGACCCACACCAACTCTGTTTGAGGGACTTTGGAAATTGTGATATGATTGATGAGGGATTTTGAAATTCTGAGTGCTCTACTTTGTGTGGAAAGGCTTCCAGAATGAAAGAGTAGAAGGATGAAGAGGATGTTTGTGCATCAACTGGTGCTAGGATTGCCAGGATTTCAAAACAGCAATCAGGGACAGTTCAAATCTGTGGCATGCACCTCCAAATAAAGTGGAAGGGAGACTAACTTGGTTGAGCATCCAACCTTTCAGAGAGATGGAAGCATGGCATACCTTCAGGGATATATACCATACGCTCTTTAATCCTTCTTTGCCTCTTTTGCCATGTGGTTGCTGCCCTCTACATGGTGGTTTCCAAAACTGAAATGACTTAAGGGGTAAAACATTCCAGTTTTTGAGAACATGCAAATTCAGAAGGTCCAAACCAGAGACCCTTCTACACTATGCAAATATAGTGTCATGGTTCCATTTTTAAATTGTTGAGTTTGTAGCTGGCGTAGCGCTTCAGAGCAATATGGTTGTCAATTGCACTGGCTGCTCATTCACTGCAAATCTACAAATTCCCTAAGCTGTTGCCATGGCAGTTAAGCCAGATTCACAGTATGACTTGTGGGGACAAGGGAGTGTGCCTTCTCTGTGGTGGCCCCGCAGGTTTGGAATTTGCTACTCGGTGAGATTAGGCAAGCACCCAACCTGACAGCCTTCAGGAAGAGTTTAAAAACCTGGCTGTTTCAGTTTGCCTTTGTTGAATGAATACAATCCCCACATCAGGACCAGCTTAGCACAATATTCCTGTCAATGCACTTTTCTCATCCCCCAACAGGCATTACCCTACTCATCCATCGCACCCAGGGTTTTATATATTTTTAATATTTTATATTATATTTTATTCTACCCCCTTTTAACCTGGCCCAGCCCACTATGCACATTTAATTTTTCTTCTATTTGTTTCCTGTATTTTGATTTTGTATTAATTTGTCTGTTCACTTTTCATTTCATGTTATTATTTGTATGTATTTTATTTGATCTGATGTGATTGTTCAGGCTTGTTCCCATGTTAGCTGTCCTGTGGCCCCGTTGGGGAGATGGTGGCGGGTTATAAATAAAGTTTTTATTATTATTTTACTTATTCAAAACCACAGTATGTCACAGCAAATGAGATCTGTATGCTGGATTTCGTATCACAAAATCACAAGTCGAACACTTCCCAAGCTATTATTATTATTATTATTATTATTATTATTATTATTATTATTAACTGTACAGTGTGAAAGTTCTCTGGTTTGTCCTGCTTTGGTTCTGCATAAGAATGTTAAGAAAGAACAGAAAATATGGTAACCTGATTTTGGCATCCTAATCTCCATTATCACTTCCTCAAGAAAAAGTCCAAAAGGAAATCGATCTCGTGATTGGGCAAAGGCGTAGCCCAACTGTCAAGGACAGGAATCAAATGCCATATACCGAGGCTGTATTGAATGAGACTCAGAGGATGGCTGATGTGGTACCCATGAATCTGCCACACCTCGTAACTCAAGACACACATTTCAGAGGATATGTGATCCCTAAGGTAAGATTCCTAGAAAGATTGCCACCAGGAATGGAGGTAAAAGGATGTGTCTTCAAGTTGCATAATCTGTCTTTCCACACTCTGTTACTTTTCTCAATCTCTTCCACACTTTTCTATCCCCCTTTCTTTCCATCCTTGTCCCTTCCATCTTCTCTCTGTCTCCTTTTAAAGCGTGACTGTGCTTATGTGTGTCTTTTAACTAATGGAAGACTTTGGAGGCCTTGCGTAGGAGGTATAACATGAAACTGCCTGGAGGTTCGTTGGAAAAATGAATATCCCAATTCTTCATGTAGTTTTGCCTTTGGTTATTAAGAAAGGTTGGAACAATCTGCCACCTGGTGACTGAAGATAGTATTGCAGGTAACAAAATACAGTAGAGTCTTGCTTATCCAACCTTCGCTCATCCAACGTTCTGTATTATGCAACACAGTCTGCGTCTAGCCCAGATCCAAAGCTATTTCAATACCCTGCGATGTTTTGATGCTAAAGTCGTAAATACAGTGATTACTACATAATGTTTATTACTGTTAATATAAGGTCAAGGGCAGGTAGATGTGATTCATATGATTGATTGATGCATTGCTATGGTTGTGAAGCCACTGCAGTAGAAATGTATCCATTTTAGAGTGGCTAGCAGGCAAAAAGGGGTGAAGCTAACTAAGAAGAAAAGAGGAGACATTTTAAAAATGAGGCAGTCTCTAGCTGGGAGAGCTAGAGTGAAGAGGTTCCTAGTAGAGTTTGAGTCTTCAGCTGTTATATTAAAAGTAATAAAAAAACCATTTTGAATTAACCTCTAGTCTCTGTACTAGAGGGAAAAGAATCCTTGTATAGGATTGTGCCTTAAGTTGGAATACTGAAGTAATAAGGGACTAATTTTGAGTCCAAGTCCTCAGTCAGGTGAAACCGGAAGACAGAGAGTTCTTTGAGCATAAGTTTCAATCAGAATATTGATGGAAAGTAGAGACATAAGTTATACTGTTCTGAAAGTTATATAGTATCAGTTTAATGTATTCACAAGAGGAAAATACTAATGTAACAATATCCAAGTGGAACTGAAGAAAAGTACTGTGTAACCAATATGCTTTATGTGCACAAGAATTCATGAATAAACATTTCTTTGTTTCAAATAATAAATTGAAGTCTCGTGTCAAGTTGTAGGATTGAAGATACATTCCTGAAAGTCAGCTGAAGATTATATTGGTGTAAAGGAGATTGTTTTGAAGCTACATACCAACTACAGTTTTGGGTTATGCAACAAGGAGACATTTACAGATATTTATAATTGAACTCCAAGTTGCTGAGTTTCTGAGAGGTCTTCTTTCTCCCCTTTAACAACATCATTTGCCTTGACACCTACATATATGTATAATTTTACTGGTGGCAGAAGGTGGCAGGCTAAAAATAAATAAAATATAAAAGAAAGGAGTTTCCCCTCCTTGCCTCACAAACTTGTATCACCTCACACCATGTATTGAACTGCTTTTTCTGTCAATTTATTGTAAAACATGATGTTTTGGTGCTTAATTTGTAAAATTATAACGTAATTTGATGCTTAACAGGCTTTTCCTTAATCTCTCCTTATTATCCAATATTTTCGCTTATCCAATATTCTGCTGGCCTCTACTGTAGTGTAATTAAATATAACAACAACAAGATATATGTATCAAATACATTATACTAAAATACACAGAACAAACATTCAAATACAGTAATCACAACACATGAGTTTAAAACTGACTGGGTAGTTCTATCCGAAGAGGCAGGTCTTTACATGTATATTTTAGTAAATTAATTAGTTTTGGATGTACATCAACCTTTGTTGGTCTGTACATTAGTATATACATCAATCTTTGTTGTTCTGGAGCTGTGGCAGACACAAACAAGATCTGTGAAAATTTATTCACACTATTATATGTGTTATTTTCTTCTCAGCTACTGCCCTACAGGTAACTGCTGCTATTCTTTCTAGCAAAAGTTGATAAAGACTTTCCCCCATTTTTAAATTTACCTTTGTAACAGTAAGAAACAGAAATAAAGAAATCAACAATATATATATATATATATATATATATATATATATATATCATAACATAGGCATACTTTAACAACACTAAATGAGTAACCACACAATTTCTTCTACAAACATCTCTACTCAGAATACATACAACTTCAAAATACATTCATAAATCAGTTTTAAAAGTTGTTAAACCTCCACAAAAGCATTGGCTCCTACCTTTTCTGGTTTTGTTTGTCTCCAGCCCTTGATTACTTCTTTTCTCCCTTCTCTCTTACTTCTCCTCTCTCAGGGAACCTATGTCTATCCCGTGCTCAACTCTGTGCATTATGATAAGCAGCACCATGCCAACCCCGAAGAGTTTGACCCTGGGAGATTCCTCGACAGCAACGGTTGCCTTAAGAAAGTGGAGGCTTTTATGCCTTTCTCAGCAGGTGTGTATTAGAACAGTGGTGATGGGGTGTGTGTAAATGGCATGGCAAGGTGGAGTACAGGTGGTGTAGGAGAAGGCTTGACTTGCCAACGTCTTGGCTGTGGCACCTTTTCCTAGAAGTTTGATTAGCATCAATGTTGATTTCTTTTTGGTGTCAAGTCAAGACATAGCTTTTAATTAACACCTTAAAGATTTCATTAACTGATTCTACATTGCAATCAGCATTGTGTAACATTATCCTTACAGGTGGGCCAAGGTATCTGTTGGCTTAGGATCAATGGTTTCAACTCAACTTAGATCCAAAGCAAGAGGTAGCGGCAATTCCTGGCTACCAGGTGTGCATTTATTTAGACTCCAGCACCTCTGGCAGTTGCCTGTTTCTGACTTGTGAAGGAATGAGCCGAAGCATTGCAACCGCTGCCTTGAAAGTAGAATTGGAAACCAAGCAGGAGGTGGGGAGCTTGAAGACAGTGTGCTTAGTGGCCAGGGCTTGCTGCTACTACTGCTGCTCTAATTCATTTTATTAAATGCCCTACTCCAGCATCTGCAGTGTTTGTTATCTGAAGGGGACTCAGTGTGGATCACAGTACACATACACAGCAAACATTCAATGACGTTTTGTATAGACAATACAGAGACAGACAGAATAGGAGGTGTGTTGTTGTTTTGACTCCATGTCCAGCTTTTTGATGCCATGGAAAGTTGAGCTCAAATCCAGCCACAGGGGGAGCTGTCGCTCCATCCTCTATGATGAAGAGCCATCAGGACTTCCTCCTTCCTTTTGGTCACCCAGCATTTTCTGATCTATTTGTCCAAAACAATAGTTTATTAAAGCAAAGTAAACAGGACTCAGAGACACTTGCTTCAGTGTCTCTGGTCAAAACTCAAAGTTTGCAGCAATTTGCAGCTTGAAAAACAAACTTAGAAAATAAAACGGATTAAACTGGCAAAAAATCCGGATTAAATAAGAGTTCTTTCAAAACACACCAAAATCACACACTTCAAAGATAATAAGCAAACAAAGAGCTGTGAAGAGAAGCTGCCATCCAGAAGCAGTACAAAGTCGAAGAAATCCCAGTTGAAAGTTCCAAAGTCCAAAAGGCAGCGTCATCGTCAAAAACAGTCCAAAGTCAAGGAGAGGGGAAATCCGCACTTACGAGAATCCAAGCTGGTTGATACACGAAGCAAGCAGCAACCTGCAGATCCAGGACCCAAGCCCAACAAGAAAAGTGGCAGCAACAAGACCCAAGGCACGAAACCAACACTTTGCCTACTGCAAAGTTCTATCATTCCAGTGCCTTCATTTATCTTACAGGTCATCATCCGATGATGAGCTGCCCTCCACCCCGTCCTCATCACTATCAGCTGACTTAGCCTCTACAGCTGAACGCCAATGCCCATCTCTCCAACTCTTCCACCTCTTGTCAAGACTTAGGTCTCCCCACGAATCCATAGTATCACCAGATTGCCAATCCCCGCCAACAGAAAACCCTGCAAAAGTGTCACTGGACATTGGTTGAGTACACACATTCCGAATCTCCTGAACCCAGTGGTTCCTCTTCATCCCCACTACTCCCAGACCCATCATTCCCAGAAAAACCCATGAAATCCTCTTCCTCTGTGGGAGCAGTAAGTATGTCCCGGATCTTCTTTCTCTGATGCTTCTAGTCTGATTCCTGCTCTCGAGTAATCCTCTTAGTCCCTCTATTCCCATCTGCATCTCCTTCCTCCTCCTCACTCATTTCACTCTTGGAGAAACCTTCAAAAGATTCTTCATCAGTGGGTGACATAAGTATCTCCCGGATTCTTTCTTTGCTGCTCCTCATCTAACACCTGAGCACCTCGTTTCCCTCCTCTACCACTCCTACTACCAGTTGCAGCGTTGCCAACAGACTCTGCTACAACACCAGCTCCCTCTGGTGATATCTTCTTAACATTCTCTGATCTTAACCGAGAACCCAAATAGAAGTGACCGGTTTGACCATGAGTTTTCATTTCCATTCATTTCCACCTGGCTCTACAGCTTTTGACTTCTCTTTGGCAGGGAAACGTGCGTGCGTTGGTGAAGGACTGGCCCGCATGGAGCTTTTCCTCCTCTTCACCACCATTCTCCAAAGGTTCACCCTCACGTCCCCTGTGCCACCTGAGAAGATCAACATTGCTCCATCTTCACGCTACATCATGAGCATCCCTGAACAATATCAGCTTTCTGTGGTCCCACGCCAGTAGTGATCTCCCTGTTCTTGTATCTACCAGAAGAATCCAATTTGTCTCCCAGAATGTATGATTGACTCTGATTTTAATGTTTAAACAAATTGTAAAGTACAATTAGTTATACCAATAAAATAATTTTGGTTGTATTATTCATTATTTTTGGAATATTATTAATGTTGCCCTCATTGCCCCAAAGTAAATAATAATAGGTGCATATAACTCATTATTTCCAGTTCTTGTTTTGGTTTTTGTAGCCAATGGTCATGTACATATGTTTGAGGAAGTTTATATCTGGTTTTGAAGCAGGAGTTGCTCCCACTCTATCAGACCTCACCTGGATTCAAGAAGGAGGTGGACAAGCTGAAATGTGTCCTGAGAAGGGCAGCCAAAACGATCAAAGGTTTGGAAGCCAAGCCCAATGAGGAGCACCTTTGAGAGCTGGAGATGTTTAGCATGGAGATAAGAGGGCTGAAGGGGCATGATAGCCATGTTTAAATATTTGAAAAGATAACATATCGAGGAGGGGAAAAGTTTGTTTTCTGCTTCTCTGGAGACTAGGACAAGGAGCAATGAGTAAATTGCAGGAAAAGAGATTGCAAGTAAACTTTGGGAAAAACTTTGTTGATCAGAACTATTCAGCAGTGGAATATGTTTCCTGGGAGTTCAGTGGAGTCTCCTTTTCTGGAGCCTTTTAAGCCACCTGTTAGAAGTGCTTAGAAGTGCTTAGACTGAATGTTCTTGCATGGCAGGAGGTGTTGGGCTAGATAGCCCTTGGGATCTTTTCCAACTCTATGTTTCTATTTGGGGCCTAGAAAACATAGTATTGGGGGACACATATGCCACACTCAGACCACCCTGGTCTGAAAAGTTGCATTTTTAAACTTGGATGAATATAACCTGAATGCATGAAAATACATGGAAGACAGAACTCTTTTGAGCATGTACAGATTGCCTTTCCCTTAAAACTGAGAAACAAATGCTATCAACACCATGACCACCTCTGGCTTTTGAGTGAGGAGTTTTTGAACAAATGGTCCTCAGTTCCCTCTGGTGTTTTGCAATTTGCAAATTGTTCCTGTTGCTGAATACATATGTATATGGAGAGAAACTGTTTCTTACATTAACCCCTGCTTGACAAACAAGGGGTGTACTGTCCAATCATTCATCAACCCCAATTAATATATCTGGCAGCGCTCAACCAGATATGTGGAATTTGTTGAGATTAATTTCACAATTCAACAGCAGATCAGTTGCACAACTTCAGCGCTTTCCAGTAGCTTCTTCCTGCACAGTATTTTCAGTCAACTGCTCCCACAAACTGCAGTCATTCTGGAACTCTTTTACAGACACTTGAGCACATGCCTGGCCATTGTCAGTTTTACTATTGTTTCCCCCCCAGTCTAGATGACATTACAAACTTACCACAGCACACAGTTATATCTTGTCTTAGCAGACAGGTTCTTTTAATCAATTACATAGAGCCTTCGATGAACAGCATCACAGCACAAGGAGAGAGAATACACTGTACATGACTTCCTTATATACAATTCATTACACATAGCAATCACTGATTGGTTCCCAACTCATTGACTTAACTCAAACCCAGGATTACATCATTCACAATCACCTGGACTAGGCCAGAACACATTCCCCAAATGAAGTTCTATATACAGTTAATGCATGACTCAGCATTTCCAATAGAAGCCTATTAGCAGTGCATGACTCAGCTATATTACATTACAATACATTGTAAAACCTGACAGATTTATTGTTCAAGATGGGATTTTAGTAGAAGACTACACAGAAAAGCCATTGAAATCCACAAGCTTGTGAACAATTTCAACAGAAAGGAGGAAACCATGAAAATGAACAAAATCTGGCTACCAATATTAAAAAAAACTCTAAA